GAAAGGGCAAGCATGTTTGGTGGGACGGGGATTCGAACCCGTGACCCTCAGATTGTGAGTCAAGCTCCCTAACCACCTGGCCATGCTACTCATCATCACCCACCGCCAACTCTTGGGCTACTCTTGTTACTAACGAATAGTGGGATTGACCGTCACATTATAATGCCCCCACGCCCTATAAATTTAAACTGAAGCAGAATGCTTATATCTTAAAAATAGAGAATCAAAAACAGTAATATTTTAGAGGAAACCTTAATATATTCAGAATTACTACAAATTAAAATAACAATACTTTTTAATATACCTGCCTACTTTACTTTATTCAATTTTCAAAATAATCTCTACACGCATTGTTACGATTTCATTATCTTGTCACTTTATCTACACCCATTAATTTACTTAAAGTATAAATTCAGTAATCACCTAACCATTTTAAAGAATTAACATGTCTGTTACTATTAAAGTGAAATGCTTATGATCACAGAGTATCAGATAAAATCACGGAATTCACATTTCTTCGGATTTAGAACGGTAACGCAAGATTACAAATGATCCCACACGAACAACGATACACTTACTCTAAAAAATGTGCATTAACTTTACATAATGAGAAATAATCATATTTATAACTTCGATATTTTCTTCAAAACCTTCAAAATTTAGTGGCCAAAAGTTATTCTCAAGAACTACATTTCAAGTAGAAGAATTAAAAGTATCAGTGATGCTTCTAGGTAATGGGACAACCTTTCAATTCAAATGAGCCCCTCGGCGACTCAGCGGTAATTTTGAAGGCTCAAAATGCTAAAGACTAATGCTACATTGTGTGTTGTGTCCCAGAAGACCTGATGAGCTCTGGATTGAGGGAAACGTGTTGCGGAAAATGATAAGGCGAACATAGTGTGGTTGGAGTACTATTATTATAATACACTCTTCTAATTCATAAGGGACTACATAAATAATGTAGTGTTAAGAAAAATGGGCCCTATTACAAGTATAATTAATTATAATCATGCTTTGTCAGATTCAAAACAGCGTTATAACACCATAAGAATTACGGTAATCTCATTGCCTATTTCGACAACACGTTGAACTAATACGTTACGGCCCCCATGACTTGTCATGTACGTACTGTTTAAAACATTAAACAATTTTTAAATATAAAAAACAACAACACTAAAACAGACAGGTTAACTATTTATTAAATTATGAGGACAAGATTAATGGAATTACCCACTAGTTCAATTCTTATTCATTGGTCACAATGGCAAGAGATTCTTAAACTGAAAGAATTCGTTCATCAAAAGCACAGAACAGAATATCAAACAGGCGCTTAGAACAGCGCTCTTACATTTGCTCACAAATATACATACCTTCATGCTTTTGTTTGTTTTTTGCTAAGTGCAGAGCTACACAATACACTGTGGTTAGGGAGCTCGACTCGCAATCTGAGGGTCGCGGGTTCGAATCCCCGTTCCACCAAACATGCTCGCCATTTCAGCCGTGGGGGCGTTATAATGTGACGCTCAATCCCACTATTCGTTGGTAAAAGAGTAGCCCAAGAGTTGGCGGTGGATAGTGATGACTATCTGCTTTTCCTCTAGTCTTACACTGCTAAATTAGGGACGGCTAGCGCCGATAGCCCTCGTGTAGCTTTGCGCGAAATTCAAAAACAAACAAACACAATACACTATCTGTGCTCTGCCGACCGTGGAGTATCGAACCCCACGTTTTAGCGTTGTAAGTCTTAGACTTACCGCTGAGTTAACTCTGATCTGAGCCACCAGGAGACGTCCTTTGTGTTCTGTGTCAAAATACTATATTGGTTGAACAACCAAACATCTCCCACAAAGGATTTCTGAACTCGAGTCTCCCTAATTACGATTCATGTGTACTCGGGCACGCTTAAAACTTAAAACGAACAATTCCGCTGTAATAACAGACCAGTTTGAAATTTTTATTTAATAGAAAACTGCTATTAGAAAAGTTACAATTTAAATATACTGAGTTTTCCAAAAGAAAAAGAAAGATAAATAAAATTTCGTCTAGCTACAAATTTTATACACTAATATAAGTAAGTATAAGCTAGCTACAAATTTTATCCTCGGTAGAGGAAGGGTGATTATATACACCATCTGTTGATATTTAGTTTTTTCCCTGAAGCGGGCTGCTTCGGTGACTTTTTCTTTGAAAATGTTTTGTCTGTACTAGAATTTCGATATTGAAAGAGAAAGGTTTACTCGCTGATAAAAGACCATGATTATTTCAATAACGTTCTATATAAGAACAACACCAAAACAAGGAATCTACCTACAATACAGCTCTATAGATCTCATGAAAAGGTCCCCCCCCAGTGGTACAGCGGTATGTCTGCGGACTTAGAACGCTAGAAACCGGGTTTCGATACCCGTTGTGGGCAGATCACAGATAGTCCATTGTGTAGCTTTGAGCTTAACTTCAAACAAAAACTCATGAAAAGATCTAGACAGAAGCCAAACTACTTCTAACTAAAAAACAATGACTTCTCTACCAGATCAGTTGTTAGAAGAATTACGACTACTCCCTAATAGAACACTAGAATTATATTGAGTTTCGAAAGATTATATGGAGAATATACCGATCCATTGTGTCCATCTGAAACATGTTCGTTATCATGCTTAAATTATGTACCTTCCCATCTGATTAGCACATATGATTGTTTTTGGAAAAATAAAAACCAAAGAAACAACCTGGGACACATCTCCATCCTATTCAGTTTTTATGTAGTCGGCCTATACCCATTCATCCCTATATTAGAAGGAACTGACTATAAGAATTTACAATATAATCTTCTTTTTCGCCAATTGCCAAATTAAAAGGTTTTTCCATATATTTCTTAATGGTATAAATATATACTATGTTGTTGTTGGGCTTAGGATTCTTCTACAGTAGGTGTCTTTGACTTGTTGGCGATAAATTCAACGATGAATAAACAGCACACACTTTACTTGTTTTCAAATGATATATATATATATATTTTCGGAACAAGTTAAACATATGTACAACAAATTCTTCACACTATAGATATTATAGGCATATAATAAACACTATTTATATATAGTTCTCTTCTTGTTGTCAAATATCCACTTAGGCCTATTCAGTTACTTGAGAATTTTAGTTGACAAGCCGAACTATCATCTTTATTACTATTGCACTTGTATTTTGTGTGCGATTCACTTACAATTGTGGCGCGAGTAACCGTAATTGTTTGGTCTTATTTCTTCTAAATATCTTCTGTTCCTTAGAATATTTTTTCATGTGAAATCACGGCCTAACAAACTTACTAAAACTACATACTTTGTTAGATAATTTCCTTCCCAACATCACGTTTATCTTAGAACTCTCGAGACAAAAACAACAACTT